TATTTATTGGAATTAGGCAATGTTTTAGCTACATTAGAAGTCTTTAAAAAATATTAAAATAAAATAAAAACAAAGAGAGAGTAGCCTTATCCTATTAATATGCTGTATCAGGTAAGATTGATGTTTATATATTTTTTGTGTGACATAGATAACACCCCCCCTCCCTTCGCCCTTTTCCTCGTTTCCTTTGTATTAAAGTTATCTTATGATATTTATACTTGACATAGCAGGGTTATGGTCCTCTTGAATTGATATGTTGCATTTCTCTAGGCACTACAATATGAATTGGATATACAATTTTAATTTAGGTTGCTCATCTGCATTTTTTCAGTATATTTTGTTTTGTGATATGTACTTAACCTTACTAGTGATATGGAAGTGGTTTTTTCCCAAGGAGGCTGTGTAACTGGGTTTCTCAATTTTCTGTTTTTGTTTCAGCTTAGGTACTGGATAATGCAGTGTGGGTTATGTACCCGACGCTTCCAATTATAAAGAAGAAGAATCTCTATGCAGATTCCTTTTCAGGCCTCTCATTTAGTTATTATGATTTCCTTAAGGTAAGTTTTTGTAAGTAGCCTATAACCCTTGAACTCAATGGAGCTGGTAGTTGGCATCAGTTATTTAATTCATTTCATGAAAAGCTAAAGAAGATTTTGTTATTTTATCCCTTCTTTATTAACTCTTGTTTTGTTCTGAATTATAGACCCACGTTTAGGAGAATTATCAGAAATGGGTCAACAGAAATGTTCTCAGGGTTGCCATATATTTATTCTCTCTTGAACTGCTTGATCTGCTTATGGTATGGCACGCCTTTGATATCACCTGATAATCTGTTGGTTACAAGTGTTAATTCAGTTGGAGCAGCCTTTTAGCTTGTGTACATAATCCTCTTCTTGATGTATGCTGAGAAAGCAAAAAAGGTTATTCTTCTGATACTATTGGAAACTTATTATAGTATGATAATTGCCCAAAACACATTGATTCATGTCTAAGCTCTGCTACTCTGAACTTCCATTTGATAGGTGAGAATGCTTGGATTGCTGCTGGTAGTTTTGGGCTTATTTGTGATCATACTAGTGGGAAGCATGCAAATAGCTGACAGTTCAATGCGCCGGATGTTTGTGGGTTCTTGAGTTGTGCTTCTCTCATTTCAATGTTCGCCTCTCCTTTGTTCATAATTGTAAGTTTGTCATTTCCTAAATAAAGGACAAAGGGAAAACCCCGGTACACAAGGTTTCCTAGACATGCGAGGGAAAGGATGAGGGTTGATTGTACACAGCCTTACCTTTGCTTTTTTTGCAAAGATGTTGTTTCCCTGACTTGAACCCGTGACTTCCGGTCACAAGAAACAACATTACTGCTGCTCCAAGGCTTTCCCTCTGTCATTTCCTAAATATCCATCCAATATTGAGTTGTTCTAGTTTCTACATTTTTTGGTTTAATATCTAATTCTACACTTATTGTGAAAGACTCATCTTCACAACTAAACTTTGCTTTAATATCTAATATGTTTGCTCATGCATGATCTTTAGTTCACGTTGGCATGCATCAAAATGGGGAGAAATGAACTAGCTCAGAAAGCAGTTGCTTTGGCGGAGAAAAGGCTACCAGTTGATTCTTGGCTTGAATATTGACACCCGAACAAGAAGATTTATTGGAAAACAAGCTAGGCGTTATCAAACATGGACATTAGCTGGGTTCCTTGCTTCTAAGATCTTTTTGAAGAATCCTGAAAAAGCAACCTTGTTGTGCTGGGATGAGGATTTTGAGATTCTTGAGACATGTATTTGTGTCCTTAGTAAGAGTGGCAGGGCAAAATGCTCATGTGATGCTGCAAAGTCTCATGTTCTCGTCTGATGAGGCACTACTGCATAATTAAAAAATTTAGGGTATTGTATGAGTTTGATAGGATAAGTAAAAATTACATTGGAAAAACCGTATCTTCCACATTTCTTTGCTATGACAAATAAGGCTTTCTTTTTAGGGGAAAGGGGATTCTTACTCATCAGTTTGTAAATTTACAAATATGTAAATTTGAAAAATTTTGGACTTGATTTCTTATTTATTCTTGTTAGTTATCTATCTTATACTTTATATTTGGATGAGACAGATCAATTAAGACAATTAACTTCAACTCATCGAATGTGCAGCTTTATTGTGGTTTACCATTATAACAGGTACTAAAAATAAAATTGGCTAACAAATCAAGTGATTAGATAGGCCCAATCTCCAAATTATGATATATAAAACTTTCAACTTGACAATCAAGTGATTAGATAGGCAAATTAATTTGAAGCTGCTACGAAATAAGACAAATAGTGGAGGTATAGAAATGTCAAAAATGCTAAATAGATTGTGGAGGTTAGAGAATGCCATAAATTGAAACATTTTTGTGGAGGTTTTTAACTTACAAAAAATAAAACATGTTGTGGAGGTCAGAGAATGTCAAAAATTGTAACATTTGTGGGGGTCTCGAACCTCCAGAAAATACTCAACAAATTGTGGCATTGCACATAAAACCCCCACAAAATATGTTGTGGCGAAGGCAAAACTGGAGGTTGATGTGAATGTCACAAATATCTTTTGTGGGGGTTAAAGACCTCCACAATATGAAAATATGACCCCCACAAAATGCCTGAATTTTTGTAGTGTGAAACTAATCCCTCATTCAAGGAGGGAGGCACACCCTCTAACCTCCAAACCCTGACTCAAGCAAATCTTTGGGAGCTCAGTTGCCAACTGAGCTACCCTGACTCAGGATTTCAGACAGGATTTTTTTGGTAGTAGAAATATCTCCCTCCTGAAATATTCTTATTTTCTTTGTTCTTTCTACAGTTTTAACATTTTTTATTAAAAATTGTACAAAAAAATAAAAAATAACACAGGTCTATACTAGTTGTAGAATTCTAAAGTGAATCCATCAATAATTATTTATGTTTTTTTTTTTATTAAACTATCAATGCTATCCATTAATGATTTTTAATGCTAAAAATTCAACTTAAGTTAAACGTTATTTTTTTTAATCTCAAATGTTACGAGCTCATCATTTTTTCAATGCTGTTTACATAGGTACTTCAAAGATCTCACAATATTTACGTTAACGAGATATATGTAACTGCGGTACTGTTACAAAAAATCATGAAAATTTCCAAAAATAAAAAACAAAAAATCATGAAAACACACCTTATTGAAAGCTTTTACACTGCATTTTCAAAATATATTCCTTCTCACACTCTCACCCAGATAATAAACAAAGACAATGACTATGAAAAGGAGCAAAGTTTCAGCAAAGGCTGATGGTGGAAGAAATGCACTGTCGTCAATGTTGAAATGATCTGTTATAGACTTTGAAGTCACCATCCCAAGTCTCTAAAGTCTTATAAAGACCACATTCGTTGTATAGGCAACCAATGTGGAATTTGTAATATTGTCACCCCTTTTAAGGGCCAACGTCCATTAGTTGTATAGGCAATCAATCTGAGACTTGTAACAGGACCACCCCTTTCAAGGGACGACGTCCACGGCGGCTTTCACTCTATCGATACTGACTTGATGGTAGCCTTTTTCCTTTTGAAAACTTCACTCACTTATCAGTGTTCATCTATGACGAACTGACACTTCAAAATTCCTAACGTGTCATGTCCGACACTTTCCGACACTCACCGAAACTCCGACACTTCAATACTCGTTGCAAAGACTCAAAAAAGGTTAAAATGTTACGTTACATTGCATTTTGAGTTCTAATATTATATTCGTTGGATTACGATTACTATTTTATTGAGTTTAATATAAACATTTGAGATATCTTATATTTCTTTGCAAAATTGACGGGTATTATAAGTTTAGCTTTATTTTTTTGTTAAATTATTGAATATTAAATATAACATACACTACATAAATTAAAAATATTATATAATATCAAAACGTGTTTTAACATGTCGAAATTTAACATTTTTTAGAATTAATGTGTCGGAGTGTCGTGTCGTATCCCGTGTCTCGTGTCGGTGCAACATAGGTATCCATTACAACACCCCTTGGGGAGATATGACACCTTAATCCAGCCTATGAATGGCCTCTTCCGTAACTTCAACTCTCAACGAAAACACTAATTGTTACGAACCTTCAGATCACTACCAAAAAACTAGCTGAAAGGGGAGAGTGTTCAAAATCTTATAAACTTCATCCACATTAGTTATATAAACAATCAATGTGGGACTTGTAATCTCTCCTCTCCTCCCCTTTTGCGTCTTGTCATAGCCTCTGAAATAGTATTGAAAACTTATCAAGTGTAATCTTTCACGTGGAATAGGGAGCAAAAACACAAGTTACATGGCCCCAAACCTTAGCTGTTGAGCTGTCTTCTCGAAGAGCTCATACAAATTGACAATAATACACTGAGCAACCTTCCAATATGAAGTGGATCAATAATAATTCCTTATCTCTTCCTTTTACAAAGTATAGAAACAGAGAAATATGGGACCCTTCACCCTTGCATATCATTCAAGCTTGAAGTTCTTATCAGCCAAGGTGAATTGCATCTCTCTAGTCACAATAATCTCAATCTCTTGAAGCTTTTATCACCGTGAGTAACAAACTTTCTTTCATTAAAAAACAAAATTAAAGAAAAAAGAATTTTTTTTACAGGAAATAAAGTGTTCACACAAGATAATAAATAAAAATCCTTGTAGTTTATTATCAGCAGGAATGTAAACGAGTAGATAAGCCAAGTATTTGAAATACAGACTTTATTTTTAGAAAAAAAGAAAGAAAAAAAGAAAGATGATACTGAGTTTGAGAGAAATGGATCCTCTCATGTATAATTTAACATGATCATGTCATATGGGAGGATCTTAACCATTAATAATTAAATCAACAATGATGATTGTGTAACTTCATATCTTTATATTTTTTTCTCTCTCCTCTCTTATCACTATTAACTCACTTATATATGAGTATGATTGCCCCACATTACATGATCATGTTATAGCACATGAGAAGATCCAGTCTCCCGAGTTTGAGTCATTTATTCATGAGCTTCGGAGATTACTTCAGCCTTCAATTATTTTTGCCACTTGAGAAAATGCAGTGTAGGACGAACCACCCTTGGACAAAGCTATCATTGCACTGCGTTTAATCTCTTTCGCTTTCTCCCTTATGGGGTTGCTCTTCACGTTTTCATCCACCTGAATAATCTGCCTCACCATTCTTGCTATTTCCTCCCTACCTACCACCTTCGTCGTCGTCGTCAACAACTTCGACCGCACTGCCACACCCACCTCCTCCGCCAGCAACGTCGCATTCAACCTCTGCTCGGCGTAAAGCGGCCAAGCAATCATCGGAACTCCGTTGGTGATGCTCTCAAGCGTCGAACCCCACCCACAGTGCGAAAAAAATCCCCCAATAGAGGAATGCCTCAATATAGTTACTTGTGGGGCCCACTGTGGGACCAATAGGCCCAATTTGTGGGTCCTCGATATGAACCCTTCCGGGAGGTACTTTGCTAACTGATTGTTCTCGTTCTCGACGTTATTTCCCGCGGTGAAAAACGCAGCGTCCGCAGCTCCTTCGATAGGCGTGCGCACCACCCAAATAAACCTCTGTCCACTCAACTCCAAACCCCAAGCCAGCTCCGTCATCTGCTCATACGACATCGTTCCTCCGCTGCCAAACGACACGTAAACAACGGACTCGCTCGGCTGTTCATCAAGCCACTGAACCACTAGCGAATCGGTTTCTGACACGTGTTGCCTCACTATAGGTCCGATGCTATACACCGGAACCTTCAGGATACCACCTAATAAATCCCCATCCCTCAGTGCTTCAAGCTCTTTGCGTTGAAACTCCTCCCATGTGTTAACCAATACTCCGTCACTTTTAGGAACCTCATTCGCTATTCGTAGTAACTCTTCATACTGCAAGTCGTTTCGGTCTAGCATGGGGTCAATGACATCCTCAGGACGAACCGGTTTGCACCCTGGGATTTTTAATGGCTCTGATTGGTCCACGTATTGTCCTTTAAGTTCCTTATCCAAAACGGGGGAGTATATAAGCAACGACACGAACCAAGCGTGTGAAGCGATATAAACATACTTGCGGATACTGAATTCTTCAGCTATGGACAAAGCCTCTGTGCAGAAAATGTCTACGATGAGTGCTGAAGGACGCAGTGTCATGTTGGAAAGTGCGGATTTGATGGCGGGTTTGGCCTCGCGCATCATAACGCACAAGCGAGTGCAAACGGCAGCGTCGTTTTCCACAAGGCCACATATGTTTGGTGATGGGATTTCGATGATTTCGCAGAGTTCGGGTGTGAGAATGTGGGTTTGTGCATTGGAGGTGACGGTGATAATTGTGACTTTGAAGTTGTGGTGAAGGACGAAGCGGTTACCAAGCTCGATCACAGGGAAGAGATGACCGAGACCTGGGCTAGAAAGCAAAACGACATGTGTTGGCTTCTGCAACTCCATTATAACTACACAAACAAAATGATAATTTTGAGAATAATAAGCTCTATAAGGTATAACCTAGTGCATGGGTTGTTGCATGTATTTATATTAAATTAGAGGACATTATTTTGGATAATAAGCTAGGCAATATTATATGTTTTTTTTTTCTTTAAGAATAGTACTTATTATAGTGTAATGCAGAATAACTAACCTCCAAGCGCCTAAGCCATTGCTATAAAAGGGGAGCGAATTATCTCGTTTTAAAATTTTATATAGGTTGATAATTAGAGAAATAGTATAATAGTCCTAACCTAATTGATTAGCAAATTACATGTAATTAAATAATTAAACATGTTTTAGTGAGTAAAATTAAGTATAAGGCTTAATTAAATGAATCTGAGTCACTTTGGAGTTAAAAAATGTACTCAGTGAAAATTAAGGGGTATAAATGAGTGTAGGCAAAAGTACCCAAAATATAAAAATAAAATTGTAAATATTCTTAGAATAATATTACAGACTTTTGGGTAAAGTTTGGTAATTAATGGAGTCGAATAGATAGACGAACTAATACTCACATGTTACCACTTAACTTATGTTAAGTGATTTGAAGACAAAAGAACCCAAACCCCCCGAGCAACCCGTCGAGCATCAGAAAGAAGAAGAAGGAAGAGAAGAAGAAGAAGGAGAGGGAAAGAGAGAGAGGAAACCATAGAGTGAGCAAACCTTGGCCAAATCAACTCATTCCAAATCCTAAACCACTCCAAATCTTCTCCTCTTTCATAATCCTAGCTTAGTTTGTAGTGGGGAGCATTGTGGAGTAGGATATCCTCCTCCAAAATTCGGCCCATTGGAGAAATTAAGGTGTTTGAGAGCTTCAACCTCCATTGGAGCTTGAGGAGCCATCAATCCTTGGTTGTGTGACCATTGGTGGTAAGATTCTAACCCTTGAACCTTGTTTTCTTGGAAAATTTCATGGTTAGGGTTTAATGAATAATGTTTTAGGGTTTTTATGAAATGTGATTAAATTAGCTATGTTCTAGGAAGAATGGAGCTTAGTGTATGTTATGAAAAATGCTAAGAATGACATTTAATCGGTGAAAATGAGTTTAGATAGTTATATGACTATACTTTGAAAATTGCAAGATTAAATGCTTGTTGATGAGTATTCTCGCAATGTTGAGTTATGGTGTGGTTGATTGGTTATTGATTGTGCCTATATGGTGGTTAGGATTGAGGCAATCGGACCAACCGTGATAGACCAACCATTGGAGCAAGGAATGGAGTTGGATTAGCTCCTTGAACTAGGTAAGTTCATACCTTGTGGTTGATGAGTTGTATAAGTAGTTGATAGTAATGAAGTATTATTGATGCAATGTGTTGAATTGCATTACATCGTGTGTAGGTGTTGATAATTGAAGTAGATAATTGTTGAGATTGGTGAAAGAACAAAGGTTAATTGGAAGCTTTGAGGTAAGCCTTCGGACCTTGGGTGTAATTCCCTTAATTGTTCCACCAACCCCTGAAAGGGTAGTGGTGATTATAGTGTATATAAATGCAATGAAATAGTGTAATGCTTTGTTATACGTATGTGTATGCATTTCGTGTGACATATGATGGTGTTTCCCTATGTGGTATGTTGCATGACGATGCGTAAATCATACTTGGTAGTTTAGCTGGCTAGTAGGACTATTTGCATCTGAGTTTCCTTAGGACAGCTTGAGAGCTCGAGGGATTTCTCATGGAGATATATTGCACTTTGCATAGATATTTATTTACTGCATTATTATTGTTATTGCTATTACACTGATATGGAACTGTGGGGTGGAGAGATGCTCCAAGGACCCCTGGTTTACTGGATATATTCGTATATCTCACCCCGTGTTGTGGGGACCCCCTTTCAGGTAAGGATGCTGCAGGAGCCACCAGTGGCAAGTGGCCATACTTGGACTAGTAGTGATGCATGAGGATCCAGTATTTTGATATCATACATGTTGTTTTGTAGCTCACATGTATAGGATTGTAATTAATAGACAATTGATAGATGTATGTTATGTTTATTTGGAATGGACTTAGCCTATGCTCATGCCTTTGGTTATCTCTTTGTTGATGGGAGCCAAGGGAGTGATCATAGTGTTTTGTAAGCTAAGTTCCATGAATTGTAATGAATATGATTTGTAATTGATGATTACCTTAAGTTCATTATATGCATGCTCTCTATGTATTGGATTGTGGAGCTGGAAATTATATTAGGTACCTAGTTCTAAATTGGAAATTGTTGAGAAAACAAAGGTTATGCTGCCCAAATTTTAGTACAAGCCATGAGGAGAGGTTGGAAAAGTTCTAGGGTTAAGTTAGATGGTTGAACAAGTGTGGCTTGTAAATGGAAATGCAACCTCCCTAGAATTAGACTTGAAAAATGTGGGAATTGGAATTCCCTGGCAGCGCGCTTCAGCACCCAGGAGCGCGCTCAAGCGCCCTGCAGCCCCTGTGTGAGCCAATTCTCACTGCCTCCTCGCGCTTGAGCGCCCTGGTTTGCGCTTAAGCGCTGTTCGCTGCGAAAAGATAGAATTTTTACTGTCTCCACGGGATTTAGCGCCCAGAGTGGGGGCTTAAGCGCCCAGGATATCGCGCTTGAGCGCCCTAGTGCACGCTTAAGCGTCCATTTACACTGAAAGACCTGATGCTCTCAGCCTCCTTGCACTTAAGCGCCCAGATGGAGGTTTTAACGCCCGATAACGCGCGCTTGAGCTCCCAGTAGCGCGCTGAAGCGCGCGGGGCCTGTGTCCAACATACACGTTTGTTGCTCAAAATTGTCATAACTTGAGCTACAGAGCTCCAAATGAGGAGCGGTTTGAAACCACGCGTAGCTAACGAAGAGATCTACAATATAGTGGTAGTTGGGAAATAAATAAGAAGTAAATTAATGGTTTAAAAATGGAATAAGAACATGATGTTAAGCTTGGTTTATCTGATTCCGCAAAGTAATATGGTTATGATCACGCAATTGGATATTTAAATTCGGTGTCGTTTTAAAAAGAAAAATTTATCCAGATTTTTAATTGAGCCAATGTGATTGTAACTGCGCTTAATATCATAATGCAATGTTAACAAATCGGTTCTAGAACGAGGTGTTACAAATAGACATTTTGCTTAACCAGATCAATTGAAGGGGGTGTTTGGTTCGGGAGAAAAAAATTTCACTAGTAAAATAGAATTACTAGAAAAATTGTTAGAAAGTGATTTTAGTAGGAAAGTTTGAAAAAAGTTGTTTGGTACGCTGAAATATTACTAAAAAAATTGGGTCAAACTTTCTGAGTGTATGTTTGGATGAAGGTAAAATATTGATGGGAAAATTGATTAAAAATACTAAAAAACCTTCTTCTTCTTTTTTTACTTTTTGAATGTGTTACCGTTGGACATTTCTACCAACGTCAAATAAACAAGTTTTCATATCTATGTAATTCTCTCCGTCTCTCCTTTCTTTGGTCGACAACAATCACTCGTGCACGACGAAGGTGTGGTTTGGACTCTCAGTCAACAACCACAAAGAAGGTTGGACCTTACGATGGTGTTAGTGACATTAGGGTTTGATTTGGAAGGTGACACCATAAGCAACCATCAGGCATGTTAATCCAAACTTTTGTACATCAAAATCATCTGGTATTTGTTTGAGGTATCGATTCGCCACTTTTTCGTTTGGTTGTGATTGTTGTGGTTGTGAAACTAATTTTTTGGGTGACAATAATCGGTAAATAAGAAAAACTGATGGAACACCCAGAACAAATCGGATTAGCTCCATTAACCCGAAGATGCAACTCACCAAAAAAATGCAACAGCGGCTCAAGAAGTTTATCCACAAAATTATGAAATCATTTCCTAACCGGATGGACCCTCAAAAACTTGGAGAATGGTTGAAGCACCAACCACAAGAAGCGCATAGCAAAAGCACCCACATTGCTGGCATCTAGTTTGTCACTATAAATTTTCAGTACAAGTTTAAGCCCTGCTTCGGCTGTTTCAACCCACAAGTCCAAATTTTCACTTGACAACCCACTATGGGATGAGAATTGTAACGCCTGGCCACTTGCAAGCATCAACCACTATCCCCACACACTAACACGAGACTTTTCAGCGTACTTTGTTCTCACTCGCACACTTCCCGAGAAAACTTCCCAGGAGGTCACCCATCCCTGAATTGTTCCAAGTCAAGCACGCTTAACTGTGGAGTTCTTCCGATCCGGGCTATCGAAAAGTAGATGCATCTTGTTAGTATAGGTAGTACCAATTAATTCTTATAAGCTATCCTCAGTTGTGCTTGTCCTATACCCGTCTTGGGGGCTTTATTTTAAAAGTGGTATCAGAGCAGGCCTCTCATCCAGTACGGTGTGGTTCAAGGACGAACCAGGCGGAAGTTGGTGGCATGTAACATCCCGGGTGCTGATGAGGGTGAGGAGTGATCGTCGGTGCGCAAGGGCACGGATAAGGAGCGGCTCCTGGCAAACTTCCAGCGGCGGGTTACATGAATGAATCGAATAACACCGGAAAGAGAGGGATTCCAGAGATTGTGCTGGTATAGGACAACACAACTAAGGATAGCTTATAAGAATTAATTGGTACTACCTATACTAACAAGATGCATCTACTTTTCGGTAGCCCGGATCGGAAGAACTCCACATTTAAGCGTGCTTGACTTGGAGCAATTCAGGGATGGGTGACCTCCTGAAAAGTTTTCCCGGGAAGTGTGCGAGTGAGGACAAAGCACACTGAAAAGTATCGTGTTAGTGTGTGGGGATATTCGTTGATGCTTGCAAGTGGCCGGGCGTTACAAGAAAACCAACGAAACACAATCGACAGCAGTATCATACAGTTTTTTCATTCCATCAGGTATAGAAGGTTCTCCTGAACGGATAGAGGAGTCATCGTCTAGTAGTGATGAGGGTATTTAGTCTGAATCTATTTCCCCTTCTTGCCCATTTAGTCGGATAACCACAAATACTACCTCCAATTTGTCTTCTGAACAA